CCCCAAAACCCCAAAACCCCAAAACCCCAAAACCCCTTAAAATTATGTAAAATAGAAAACTCAAATATTTTTCAAAATGTCAATTCAAAGGGAATCCACAAGAATAATTTACGAATCTAGGAAACTCCGTAACATTGATATGGAAAGCAGTATCCAGAGGGAGAATTCAAAGAAGAGGAAGCTCTAAACAAGACTTCTGGAAGTCATGGGCCTCACAAGTCCCAGAGACCTCTTGAATTGAAGAATACTAACGGACAGAAAATAAATTTTTATCGAAATAGCCTCGAAATTGATGAATCTGATGACTCTTATATACCTGAGCCACAATCATTGGAGGAGAATTTCCATGGGAATAGCATACATCCACAGCAAAGAAGACAAGAGCTCGACCAAATGTTCAACATGATGTTGTCTGAGAAACAGCAGGATAAGACTAATTTTGCTCAGGAATACCTTCAAAGGAAGATTGACAACCGTATCCATGAAATAGAACAGCTCTCTAATGAGAAAAAGCGCAGGGATTATATTGAAGATGCCCAAATCGTCCTTAAAAATAGGATCAAAGATGAGTACGCTCATGAGCCTGGACTGAAAACAATGCTTTTTCATAAAATTCCTGATCCAGCCTACCTCAGAGGTAAAGCAGAAGTAATGACCAACGCTGAAGTGTTAAAACAGAGAATGAAGCCAAATAATATAAATAAGAAAGCAGATGAAATAGTTAGGAATTATCTTCATAGCAGCGGTAAAAAGAAAGGCAAGAAGAAAAGGAAGAGGAATGCTTCTGATGAGCAAAGAGACTCTGAAGAGCAGGTATTACCTGAATTCTCCAATACACTTGACATGAGGATTGGGTCTGATCTTACTACTGAAGAAGATATGCTTCAAAGAGCATCAACCTTTGGAAGCAATACAATTTCAGAACCTAAAAATGAATTCCAAGATACTAAAGGAAGAGTTATAATGCAGGTAAATACATTTGGAAATTATTATTAGGGCCAAAACAGAATAGCACAATTAGAAAATATTGTTTGTGAGCTCCAGATGCAAGTAGATTACTTAAATGCCAATGAATGAAGCCAAGATTTAGTTGAAAAAGTAACACAATACCATAAATTAATTGAGCGTCAGATTGTAAATACCCTCAATTTGTCAAGTTTTAAGTACCTACAGAAATCAATTAATAGTGTAATTGACTCTGAGAGGACTAGAACAAGAGGTGCACAGAGCCAGTCTTCGATAGATTCAATGAAAATCAACGGAAATAACAATTTTTTATCTCCTCAGCCAACTAAATTTCTAGAAAGTTGACTTTCACAACCAACATATCGGTTATCGAACCAAGTTAATGCCAAAAAGAAGTTGTTTAGTCCCTTTAGCGAAGAAGTAGATTTCAAAGTTACAAATGAGTTCGACCAGTAAGGATATTCAGCTACAGTATAGTGAAACTCGTGCTGAACCTCCTATGGAAATCAAAAGCCGTCGGTCTCTCATTCCATTACCAGGAGCTGGGTTTGTTACATTTCTAAACTCTATAGAGCAAAGATTAAGCCTCAATCATACAGGAAGCCTACAGAGAACTTAGTAAACAGGACACATTTTAAGAAATCCAAAGGGAATAAGCCTTCACAAGAAAGCAGAAAGTTGTACAAACAGAAGAAAGAGAAGAACGGAGATATTCATAAATAAACTAGTGGACATGAAGAATACAACTGCTGGGGTTCTTAACAAAAGAAAGTAAGTTTAAAAATTTACCCTTTCTAAGAAATTATAATTCTTCTGTTTTATAGTCGAGTCAAAAAGCGGATTCGGGATCATATGATGAAGCATAAAAAGAATTCTGTAGCAACAGATTATGCTTCTGAGATTAATAAAAAGCTAGGCCAGGCTATTGATATGGCAATTCATACAGAAAATAACTTCAAAGAGCCTAATTCTCAGATAGGAAGTCTTAAAAATTTCCAAAGGAGGGATAAGCCACAAAACATAATTCATCCTTCTGAAGAGAGCAAAGGGATGGCATCAAACTACATTAGTGTGCATTCAAATTACCAGGACCAAGACTACACAGTAAAGGGTCCATTTTTCTCAAATTACACTAAAAATGCGTACTTTATGTCACCTCACCAGGACGAAAATACAGAGACTAATGTCGAGGCTGACCTGCACTACGACTCGGATAGATGAGAGATATCCTTCTCTAATGAAAAGATAGAGAAGAGTAGGAGCAGAAGTAAAGTTCCGCTAGTTTTAACTTCAAAAGTTCTTAAATATTAAGGTATAACTGGAATAAATCAACACAATTCCAAAAATCAGAGCTCTCAATATTATGAGCCAGAATGGGGTTTTGGGGTTTTGGGGTTTTGGGG